CGGCGGCAATGGAAGGGCGCCGGCTCAGGCACCCAAAAAAAACAAAAGGCAAAGCTCCGTTGAAAAGGAGCCGTCAGGCAGAAAGACGGGAACCATCCCCTCCACACACCCTATCCTCGGAGGACGATGACCACAACCCTCCACCATCTCTCGAAATTATGGACGAGTGGAAAGCGGAGGTTTCGTTATCGGAAGACGAAGAGTGGCAGGACATCCCAAGGGATGATACGGAATACGACCAAGACACGTACTTCGGACAGGAAAGTTCCCATACTACACGGGACAAACAGGAAGAGGGCACCTTTATAAACCCCCAAGGGGCACCCATGTTCAATCCCCGCACAATCCGGCATCCAAGATCATCAGAATTGGGCTTGCCAGAACATCTGGCCCAGTTCATCCATTTCTGGCTAAAAAAAAACAATGGAAAAAGAAGTAAGGGCAAGGCTGCGAGCAGAATGCCCAAGACCCATACTGCCGGACAAAATTGCACAGACTCCAGAATTCGACACTACCGTGTTACTGTTAATGTCCCGTGCAGGCCGACACCCGCGGAAAGACATAGAGAAGGGCCTGAAGGAATCTCAGGACAAGCTACTGGACATACTAGGTCCTCTGGCCAAGATACTATACCTGGCTGACCTAGCCCTCTCCCAGAGTGACGCATTGGATGCCCATGTTATACGAGAATGGGTGCAACGTGCGATCTGTATGCTGGGCAACACTAACGCGGCAATATGCGCAGAATGTCACAAGGCAGCGTTACTGAAAATGGACTCCAAAGTAATGGAGTTGGGAAAGAAGGAAATGGGACCACTGGCGAACGGCCAGCTCTTCGGGGACTCGTTTATAACAGAGCTAAAAAAGTACGTGAACCTATTCACTACACTGAATAAGGCACAGACGTCCATCAAACAAGTATTTCGCAACACCACACCACACCGGGTTTTTTTTGGCAGGGCTGGTCGCCAAAGGGGTCGAGCTACCAGCCAATACTGGCCCACAGGCCCCAGAAACCAGACGCCCCAAGCGTTCTTCCCATCTTCAAGAACCAACTTCCCACGAGGGGTACCCCGTCCCAGAGGTACCCGCACCCGCGGACGCTTCAATGCAGGTGAGCACTCCAAACATGATGTTTTCACACTCTCATATGACTGCAGGCAGACTGTCTCTTTTCACAGGAATGGGGAAGGATATCCTCGGACAACTGGGTCCTACAAACGATAGCGGGCACGAGATCGAGTTTTCAGACACTCCAGTGCAGAACCGTCGCCCACCACCAATAAGAGTGTCGGCACTGCACACCAAACTCATAGACAATGAGATCCAGGCTTTGTTCGACAAAGGGGCGGTGGAGATCACCCCGGATGATACGGGCTTCTTCAGCAACATCTTCGTGGTCCAAAAGAAGACGGGAGACTACAGACCGGTCATCAACTTACGACAACTGAACAGATTCATCACCTACCGACATTTCAAAATGGAAGGAATCCACCTCCTCAGAGTCCTATTACTAAAACACGACTGGTTCACTCGGCTAGACCTAAAAGACGCCTATCTATCGGTACCGATAGCCCACGTCAGCCGACCTTTCCTCCGTTTCACCTTGTCTCCCATTCGGCCTCAGCTCAGCACATGGTGCTTCACAAACCTCATGAAGCCGGTAATGGCACACCTGAGGGGAAAGAGTATCCATTTCCTAATATACCTGGATGACATTCTGATATTCTGCGAGACTGCATCCGGACTTCGATCTCAAACGAAATTCATAGTGCAATTTCTGGAATCGTTGGGCTTCATTGTAAACAGAAAAAAACTCATCACTCTCCCCATCCAGAGTTGTACCATTTCTGGGGTTCGAAATAGGCTCGAGAACGTGCACCCTGCGACTGCCCTAGACAAAGATTGCGACAATATGGAAAGAAATACGGCGGGTACTCCGAAAAGCCTCAATACCACTCTGCCTGCTGGCCAGAATGGTAGGCCTATTATCATCTTCCATACAAGCGATCTTCCCGGGACCGCTCCACTATCGAGCCATGCAACAGGCGAAGGTCCACCATTTAAGACAGGGGCATACATACGACCACTAGGTTCCAGTGTCAGAAGAAGTGCGGACGGAACTCCGTTGGCTCCTCCACATGGAGGCCTGGAACGACAGAGCCATATTCGGACCAAACCCGGACTTCGTTCTAGAATCGGACGCCAGCCTATGGGGCTGGGGAGCCCACTGCACGCAGGCATCCATGGGAGGCCCGTTGTCAGAGGAAGAAAAACTCCTACACATCAATTGCCTGGAACTGATAGCGGGCTCCTTTTCCCAAACACATGTCCAACTGCTGCATACTCCTACGCATGGACAACATATCAGCAGTCCAGTACATAAACCGTCTAGGCGGAGCCAGGTCGCAAGCCCCAACAGAAGTGACGAGGGACATCTATCGGTTTTGCCTTCCCCCATAACATCAGGATCAAGGCAGAATGCCTACCTGGAGTCAGCAATCTCACGGGGGACTGGTTCTCTCGACATTGGAGAGACTGCAAAGATTGGCACATAGACACCGCCATCTTCAACAGGGTGAGAACGGTAAGAGGTCCCCTACACAGACCTCTTCGCATCACGGACGAACACACAACTACCGAGGTATTACAGTTGGCTCCCGGACCCACAGAGCGAAGCAGTGGACGCGTTCTTACAACAATGGCCATCGAGAGGTGCGTATGCATTCCCGCCATTCTCAATGCTGGCAAGAGTCCTTCATCACCTATGCGGATCAAGGACATCGTTGGTACTGATCGCACCATTGTGGAAGAGCCAAGCATGGTTCCCAAACCTACTTGCACTGTCACAAGACCATCCACTAGTCTTACCATCGTTTCCACTCCTCCTAACGAACCCGGAAGGGGAACCTTACTCACTAATAATACAGGAACGGCTGGAACTCGTGGTCTGGAGTCTTTCAGGGGATCCTGGAACATCTTAGGCCTATCGCAGACAACTAGAGACCTACTATGGGACTCATGGGCACCTGGCACTAGACGCAGCTACATATCAGCATGGAATCGCTGGTGCATGGAAAGGGACCTCGATTCCTTTACAGCACCTATTTCCTATGTACTAAATTTTCTGTCTAGTCTATTCTCCAAAGGGAGATCATACCGTTCTATTAATGTTATTCGATCCGCCATCTCGGCAGCTCACACCCCGATAAACGGAACACCAGTGGGTCAGAATGCTCTGAAATGCCATCTACTTTGGGGCATCAGACTGTCCAGACCTCCGGCCCGGAAGTATAACAGGCTATGGGATGTGGATTTGGTTATCCGATTTCTTAAAAACTGGCCAGACAATGCAGCCTTTTCTCTAAGACAATTAACAGCCAAACTGACACTACTACTATGTTTAGTTTCTTTTCGATGAGTTTCAGATGTTAGAGCCTTCGACGTGGACGGTTTTGCTATAACGCCAGAAGGAGTTACATTCACGGTGTCTCGCAAGAACAAGATGGACTCTACATCCGTGTCCTATCCCTTTTTCCCAACGGTTCCACGTCTATGCGTTGTGGACGCGCTACTACGGTATGTAGAAGTAACTAATTCTCTCTGTTTTTCTAGATCGGGCCAGCTACTGGTATCATATACCAAGCCATACAAACCTGTAACTACAACCACGTTGGCTAGATGGGTACGTTGGCTCTTATCCCTGGCAGGCGATGAGTCGGTTTTTGGGGCCCACTCGGTACGCGGAGCGGCGGCCTCACGTGCATATTCGGCGGGGGCATCGCCAGCGGATATTATGCACTCGGCGGACTGGACTTGAGAAAATACCTTTAGGGTTTTTTTTATTTCCGACAGACATCACACGCATCTTTTTCGTTGTTACCGCAGCGTTAAAAATTCAAAATAGGAAGCCTCCTGTCATGTGGTAAAATTGTAGATTATGCTAACGTAGTGTACCTATAATCTTAATTTTAATAACGACAGGAGGCGAGTATTTTCCCTGCCGTAGGTCTTGGGTTTTCCCTCCCTATATACTCACAGATTTCCATCATGTTTATTATTATTATTAGCAAGTTACCATTATATTATTGCTATTGGTATGGTTGGATGTCTATCGATGACAGTTCATAATTGGTATATACTTATAGATATCGCATTGTAGACAGTAATCTGCATATTAATTAAAGACGGTATCATAGGCAAGAGGTACTTTAAGTGCAATTAGGAGACATAGTATGTATCTCTATAGAATAGTCACTTTCAACAGTATATTGAATAATTAGAGAAATATCAATAAGTTTATATATGGACAATAGTTATTTTCCACCACTTTTCACCTATTTCTGCTCTTTTCAGCATAACATGATTCGGGAGTCGGATTAACAGGATCCCTTCAAGTTTCAATCCAAGTTATGGTCGTTCAAGTTATGATTGTTCAAGTTATAGAAGTTTCATCATATCCCTGACGTTTTACCACATCAAAGAAAGAGGAATAGACACGCCAATCAAGGAATTATATACAGGCTATGCTGGTCTATGATTGGTTTAAAGTTTTGATTGATTGACTTGTGCTGCTGGAGGCATAAGTAAAGAAAGTTATGCAAAATAGGAAGCCTCCTGACATTATTAAAATTAAGATTATAGGTACACTACGTTAGCATAATCTACAATTCCCTCCAGATATCCAAGATACATGCTTAGAATATTGTTATTCAGAATTACCTGTATCCATTTGTTAAAAAAAACATTTCCCCTTTACAATAAGTAAACAATGCTTAAAGATTGGAAAATAGCAATCTCGGCTATTTTCACTAATTAGTTAAGGGTGGTTGACGGAAAGTCACATTGTAAAGTTCTGTTTAAAACAGACAAGCTATACGGGGAATTTCGACCTTATACACTATGCTCAAGACAAAATATTCACTCTGACTCACAAATGTTCTATCAGCTCAAAATACCAGGAGCTGAGCTATAAACTGCTCTCACAATGGTACAGACGGCGGACATCTTACATCACATGCACACAGAGATCCCAGACGTATGCTGGGATGCGGCTTGGAGGTGGGAACGAATATCCACATATGGTGGTCGTGCCCCTCCATTACATCCTTCTGGGAAATGATCGGCATCAAAATCAATGAAATCACAGGCACCAAAATTGCCCTCCACCCCCTAACCATGCTCCTTTACCACACTACTCAAGCGCTGAAAACATTTGGGAAATCACTGACCCTCCCGTTCCTCTATGCTGCACAGTCCCTTACACCCACTCTTTGGAAGCGCCCTGAGACGCCCACCCTTCAACAAAGGGTTGCAAGGGTGGAAGAAATATTTGCTATGGAAACCCTGGTAGCTGACCTTCAGGGACACTCAGATAAATGTGCTTCGACCTGGTTCCCATGGGTGACATATGTCTCAAACATGGGACGTGGACAACCTAGACGTCCAGGCCCTAACCCCATAGGGACTCGAACCGACCACACCTGGAAAGTTGGAGGCCCAAATGGCCTGGTTGCTTGCCGAAGGTACCGTCCTCTTTTCACCTTCTTCCCATCACCCTATCTCTTTCCCTTCTACTCCTTTTTTACTCCCCTCTAACTGCTATCCCCGGCATGCCTATAACCTACACACCAGAAAAATTTAAAATACATTAGAATTTAGTACATCCCTACTCTCCGGACTAACTTGACACTACGTTGAGATATGTAGAACACTGATCTTTTACTACTTTCTATACTTAAGTCCTCACATAGAGGATGCAGTTGACTCGTTAGCTTGACAATAGAAATACAAAGGCGGCCCATACATAGAACCGAAACAATTGACGCTGCCCGGACCTATACCGCTCCACCCTCATCAAATCGTCTTGGGGGGGTTCTGAAAAACAATGGCTAGCCCACACCGAAGCTCATAATACACCCAACAACCCCGTATGCCACAGATTATGCACCAACACTGATACATAGTCTAAGATTAATTTTTGAACCTCCTAAGCATTAGTTAGGACACAGGTCTATGAGATACATCCTGCTACATTGTGGCATTATGACTTGTTAAATGCTTTACCAGGTTGTCCACATGCATGGCTGCATACCCAAAGCTGTACGAAATTTGATTGTTACTGTTACTGACTGTTTTTGGTTACCATTCGGTACCATTTGCTTCACTGTACCGACTATACAAAATGTTCAAATAAAGATTGTCAAAAAAAAAAATAGACAAGCTATGACTATAGTTCATTTATTGGCTAATTTGGCCTAAATTGTGTCCTTCATTTTTTTTAATTCACCACCACTGATTGAATAAGAACCTCAACAAGAACATTGAACCCATGAGGAAAAGGAAGTAGAGACATGATAATATCAAACAGAGTTCAGACGGCAGTTCTAGTTGACACTAAGGTATACTAACGAAGGGTTCCAAATCCTCCACAATTGTGTAGTTATATGATGCAACATGATACAACAAATACAGGGTGAGCTAAGTTGGACAATGAGAGATAATAAACAAAAATCAGCAATAATATAAAGAGTCTCTTAAAGTACAGTGAAGACCTAGAGTGTATATTTTTCAGTCCTTGCTTTGAATCCTCAGTGGTAAATATGGAATACAAAAGCAGAAAAAGAGACCAATAGTGCAAAACTGTATTAGAAAAGCTGGATCACGAACAACATAGAAGTAGAGAAGTGCCAACTCACAATATAAACGTAGGTTAACTGCAACAACAGACAACACTGAGGTCCTAAGAGTGCCAACTTACAATTGGGAGAGCTATAACCAGCTCTGAGTAAAACAGCATACAGTGGTATTTAAACTCCCCACATGTAGGATATCCCTCTAGTGATGCTTGAAGTGCCGGTCTTATGAAATAAGAATCACAAGAGAGGGCCCATAGTGTTTACCGTATAAAAAATAGCAGTGAAAGGTAAAATGAAACGTACTTACAGTGTTCAGAGCAGCCACACTGCTCTATGAACCAGGCGTAGGTGGAATAATCCCCACCAGGGATTTCTTTTGTAGTACTGGATCTTTAAATTTATAATAAAAATCAGCCAGGATAAAACAGCAACAAATAAAAGTAAGTGTGCAAAATACTTTTATTGGATTCTTCGACGACAAAACACCACTGAGCGCGTTTGGCTAAACAAAATGGCCGCTGTCACGTGTTCGTTCATATGAACGCCGGCCACCCAGCCATTTGTCAATTAGGCTGCGGTTAACCACAGCTTCTGGGTGGTTAACGAGCAGCACACTGCACGTGCAAGGTGGTCGGCTTTTCGAAGGTTTGTTCGGTAAATTCCATTTACCAAACCACATAGGTAAAAAGGCATGAACAAGCCTTTTTACAGTCTTGGAATAAAGTTTTAGCCATGGGCCATAGTCGCAATCAGGCTCCTCCAACAGCCAGTGACAAAGGGTAGTTTGTCACAGTGTGAATTCCTATATTTAATTTAATTTTTCACACCTTACAAACACAATTGATAAATAAAGGGATACATTAACCTAATTTTGTAAAAAAAAGATCTTGGAAAGGGACAATTCCCCTTTAACCTGTAAACACCCACCAAATCTCCTGAACGCTAATTGCCCAATAACCTGAGGGCGTGTTTACCACATGTGGGGTGGAGATATGTAACTTCTACCCTGTAGTCCTTGGATAGCCTAAAATAAGCCGAAATAAACATGTGTTAGAGGTGCAGATTCCAGCAGGAACATTGTAGGTCCGGTCCTTGGTCAGAATGTAGGTTGCCATTGAAGTTGTCAAAAATGTCCAAACATTGCCCCTTTAATCTCCCTCTGGCTCCAATCTGTTGTTTGAATTAATGTCTGCTAGAAAGCAATAGCCCCAAAATGTGTTTGAATTCTATATTAAGCATAGATAATGTATATGTATTTGTAATACAGAGATTTCCCTTTGAATTTGGTCATGTTGATGTGTTTACCTGCGCCCTTTCATTGTAAGTAAATTATTTATAAACGGTTTGACTACATATTTGGGGTCCACTGGACATCGCTCTCGACCTCCTCTTCAGCTCAATGAGAGCTAGAAGCTTTCTGCCTGATTATGTTGTAGTCATTATAGTGTTGGAGTGTCCCATTAAATGATATTTAATTATTATTGACCCAGTGTTTGGGTTGTGATGGAATTATTATTACCTGGCTAGCCCTAAGCCTACGCTTGCTGTAGAGGTTGAGGTATTTTTCAGGATGATAAAATAGGCACATTGAATAATGAACTACAGATAATCCCCCCTTATCTAGTGTTAAGCAATGCATGCTTTTATTTCTTGGCTTTTAATTCTGTATATTATAAACAGGTAGTATAGAAATATTGTATTGGAAATGTTGTATAATTTACACACCATTTTTACTGGAACTTTTGAAATGCCGAGAATCATATTAGAACAGCGGCTGATCAATGTTAGGAGGAGGGGGTTAAAGGGATCCTATAGTACCAGGAAGACAAAGCCATTTTCCTGGCACTAAAGGTTTCTAAGGTGCCCCCCTCCCTCGCGCCCCCTCCTGTGGGGCTGAAGGGGTTTAAATCCCTTCAATCACTTACCTGAATCCAGCGCCTATGTCCCTCGGCGGTGGGTAAGGCTCCGCCCATGCTCCTCCCCGCCGATGTCTCCAAGATCAGATGAGTAAAGTAACCAGACAAAAACTTATACTAAGAATTAATTAATAAGTATAGGGGGGTCTGGGTGGGAGGGATTAGTAAGATTAATAGAATTGCAACTATATATTTATGATACATTTATGACATTATGATGACATTGTACCAAGGCCTGAATTACATAAGTGTCATCAAAAACTTATAAAAGGCAGGTACACGTCTGAAATAAAAAAATTAAGGAAAAAATATATTATTATTAGTGCCATTTATATAGCGCCAACAGATTTCGTAGCGCTTTACAATGTTATGAGAGGGGGGATGTAACAATAAATAGGACAATTACAAGAAAACTTCCAGGAACGATAGGTTGAAGAGGACCCTGCTCAAACGAGCTTACAGTCTATTAGGATCTCAGCGTAACTGGTCTATTCGTCAACAGCCCTACATGCTTATTACGATTGTTGCTGACTGACAATAAAACTTTAATTTACAAAATAAATAACTAAATAAATAAATACCAACCATGTTATGAAGCATAAGAACATAGATAAACATTCAAAGCATAGCTCATATTTGCAATTTATGTTTTTTTGTTTTTTTTAAAGTCCTATTTACAAGAGCTTATCTATTAGAACATATATTTACTGCAATGTACAATTATTCTATTTGTTCTCGTACATTTTCATGGGACCCCCTTTAGGAGAAATATTTTGTTCTGAGGCATTCAGGACGTCAATAGTATATCTAATCTGCATTTAGAACATGTGTTTTATTGTTAAGGTTAACAAAATAACATCTTTCTCTTTTGTGGTCATTTCTTTTGCGCATGATACAAAATGATAATTAACTCTGCGCAAAGGATTTAACGTAATGAGAGTCCTGGGATTGAAAACAGAGGCTTAGTAGAAAATCTCAGCTCTGTAATTACAATCAGAGGTAGTTTGAAATCAGAATAAAGAAGCTCAGGTTGCGTGTGGGAACATCTATCTGTAACCCCCAGTGAATTCTCTGTAAAAGAGTCACGATAGGTGCTTTGTGTTAGTGAAAAAGAGACTTACGGTTTATTTTCTAAACAATGAATCGAAATCCAATTTACAATATGGAATTAAAAATCAGTTGAGCTGAAAAATCGCCAGTATAATTATTATTTTTTTTTTAAATATTAGGTTATTATTTGGGCTATTTTGGTCTATTTTTTTCCGCTTCGGTTTCCACTTTTCAGTCATCCCTGTTTAATAAATAAACCCCGTAATTTTTGTAATAATAGGTCACAAAAATTACAGGGAGCTTGTCTGCTGAGTCGTTTAAAAATAGCAAAAGATGAGTATTTATTTTTACCAAAGAGGTTAACGTACCAAAGGGGAAAAAAAGCAATAGTCTGTTCAGGCTTAAACAGCCTGGTATGCGCATAAAGAAAACAAAAAAACACAACAAAATAAAAAACGTGTAATCTTTGGTTAATGATTTGTGTTTTGAAATACATGTTAAGAATAGTAAGGTGACTGCAGAGACCTTGAGATGGAAGGATTTCCCTAAGTGAGAAGCTCATTTAGCAGACAGAGTAGGACCTGCCAAAGATGGGGTACACTGGCAGGCTTATGCA